GTGAAGGATCACCTTGCCCAAATTGAGCCCAAACGTTGGCTTGTTCTCTACTGATCAAGAGGGCAAGACTAGAAGAACTAGGTCAAAACTACTGGGAAACTGATTTCAGATAGCATTAGGAGCATCTTCCTGATGCTGGAAGCTCTTTTGAAAAATTGGAAGTTACTGCTGTAGTTAAGTGGCGAGATCACAGATACTGGTGGGATTTGAGAAGCATCTGGGAGCTACAGGTTAAGGTGCCCTAGCTGCATCTGATTAAATATCCTTTACTGAGTGCACAAATGATGTTCTCCATGGTCCCTTCCGATGTTATGAACTGAGATCAAGGCTAATCTTCATTAAAGAGTCCACTTGAGTGAAGAGCCAGAAAGATCTTCTACTTCTACTTCTAATGTTCTGGTTATGGGATTCTCTCTCAAGGAAGACTTGATCCTGAATTCTTCACTCAATTTACGTGTATTACGCTGTTCCCTTTCCTGACCTTAGTTATTTCCTTCAGTTTGTTTCCTATATGCTTACAATCGCAGTTTGTAGACGAGTTAAACTGCAAACTGCACATCTACTACGAAGGGACAAATGGCAGAAACCTCCAGCCTTGTGGTTTATTACTCATCTGTCGTTCCCAAAGATTGCAGTAAAGCTATTGTCCTTCCAAAGTTGCAGAATTTAGCAGAGTCCATTTATATACGGATTGGGCCATAGGTTCTCAACGGAAGCAAGGTGCAGTGTGCTTATTTAAAATGAGCCTCTAGTGTATTAAAAGCACAGAAGTGCACAGAGGTGTCGGGAAGGGGAAGTTAGGGATCAAATAGTCATGTTCCATATATATATATATATATATATATATTTAAAGGATGCATTTGAAACAAACCTGGGCTGATCCTATAAGCAACCTATAAACTGCCAAGTGGAGAAACTGCCCAGAATTCATTTGGGCTCCCTCACCTCGTTGCACCTTCCCGGTTGGCCCACCAAGAGTTAAAGCCCAGTCCCATGAAAAATGCATGGAAGGGTTTTTAAATATTTACATACCTCTGGGGTGATCGGCTTCCAACCTCAGCCTTCAGCTGCAGGTTCTCTCTCGCAAGGCTACCATTTTCAAGCCTCAGTTTTTTATTCACCTACGTGGAAGTAAAAGGATTAACAACGTCAACAAACTAACATCGATTCAAGCAGGCCCGATTTTAAGGAGAACGGGGATGAAATGTTAACAACAGCGATGTCCGAAGCCAATTCTCTACTCTACTCCCTAGAGATTTCCGTCCAACAGAGACACCGCTTAAAAATTAACCCTGGGAGATGGCAGGCGGAAACTGACAAGAGAATAGACATTTTTAATTCATAATTCCAACATACGCCGCGAGGCTCCTATCCAGGGAAATAAACAGAGCTGGGTTAGTTCAACCTAACGGTCATTAAAGGAGATCTACTAATGGCAATTCAATGTTTCCTGCCTCCACTCCATGACTAAATTCTTTAAATGGACTGACATCGCGGTGTGCAGGTATCAGCAAAATGAATGTTGAACAACTTCCGTGCTCTTCCAAGCAGACAAAGATTACTCAGCGGCATCTGCTTTCTTTTTAAAGAGACAGACCCCCCCCCACACCCACCCACCCAACACACACAGAACAAAACTCACGACAGTAATTTGTTTGTCATTTTACTTGGGGAACGTTTCTGGAAGGATGCTATCGGCAAAAGAAGTCATTCACAAATCCTCTGACTCAATAAACAAGACATTTAAAAAAAAAAAAATACAATCAACTCCAAATGAGAGACTTGGCAATGGCACACACATATTGTATCAAGAAATTTAGAACATCCCAAAGGCTGCTTTCCATTGGGCTAATCTATTAAGCCAAATAAAACAGATGAGGAACGGTTGCAGGAACTGGGAATGGCCAGTCTAGAGAAAAGAAGGACCAGGGGTGATATGATAGCAGTATTCCAGTATTTGAGGGGATGCCACAAAGAAGAAGGGGGTCAACTTAATTTTCAAAGCCCCAGAAAGCAAAACAAAAAACAATAGATGGAAACTAATCAAGGAGAGAAGCAACCTAGCACTAAGGAGAAACTTCCTAACAGTGAGAACAATTAACCAGTGGAACAGCTTGCCTTTAGAAATTGTGGGTGCTTCATCACTGGAGGTTTTTAAAAAGAGACTGGACAGCCACTTGTCTCAAATTGTATAGGGTCTCCTGCTTGAGCAGGGGGATGGACTAGAAGACCTCCAAGTTCCCTTCCAGCTGTTATTTTAGTTGACAAGTATCCCAGGGATGAGCAACGCATGGATTTCATATTATTTATTTATTTATTTATTTATTTATTTTATTTAATTTATATGCCGCCCTTCTCCCGACAGGGACTCAGGGCGGCGCACAACATATTTAAAACCAGAACATATATACAATCCCCCCCTTAAAACCGAATTAAACCGAATTTTAATGTTGCGTCTTCCGAATATTTAAAACCCAATGTAAAATCCACCCTAGGTCAG